TTAATGACATTTCTACATAAAAATGTTATAAAATTGCATTATTATAACAACATTCCTACATAAAAGATTTATAAAATTACTTTATTATAATGACATTCCTACATAAAAGTTTTATACAATAACTTTATTATAATGACATTTCTACACAAAAATTTTATAAAATTAGTTTATTATAATGACATTCCTACATAAAAGTTTTATACAATAACTTTATTATAATGACATTTCTACACAAAAATTTTATAAAATTAGTTTTTTAACAATTTATATATATATATATATATATATATATATATATATATATATATATATATATATATATATATATATATATATATATATATATATATATATATATATATATATATATATATATGTATATATATATATGTATATATATATATGTATATATATATGTATATATATATATATGTATATATATATGTATATATATATGTATATATATATATGTATATATATATATATATATATATATATATATATATATATATATGTATATATATATATGTATATATATATGTGTATATATATATGTATATATATATATGTGTATATATATGTGTATATATATGTATATATGTGTATATGTATGTATATATAGTCGTTGCCGCACAGGGTGTGTAACCCGACCGACGCCACGGAAAGGTACTGTTGAAGATCGATACAGGCGCCAGGTGTGGGAATAGAGCAGAAACACTGAATCGTGTGGTTCATTATCTACACGCGATTTAGGGAAGGGACAAAACACGGTCAACTGCTGATGGAATTTCTCTCATTAGTGCATGTGTGAGCCAGTAACAGATTCATCTTTCCTATTCTTTTCTACTTTATGGAGTCTAGACATGTGGCGTAGACAGTATATTGTTACAAAGGGGATGTGTACACACGCGCACACACACACATATATATATATATATATATATATATATATTGCGCTAACAGCTGTAAAGGTGAGACATCACTAATATTTGTGGGGGGGGGGGAGTCTTGGGAGTTTTAACTTGCCTCACCCTCAGTGTCTACGGCAACACGTTTGTTATCTGCTCACTAATATCCTCTCCACATGGGACGTCGTGCTCTTTCGTCACTGAAATATTGGAACATTAAACAGGGTAGCTGTGTAATGAATGTGTAACAAAAAGTTACATGGGTAGCTGTGTAACGGACGTGTAACAAATAGGTAGGTGTGTAACGCACGTGTAACAAAAAGTTACACGAGGGAGCTGAACAATAAGCTATACCTGCACATTGTAACACTTCTACATTTTCTGCAAAACATTTATTTTTACATTTGGTGCATCTAAAATCCAACTACAAAAATTGTACCAATGGCGTCACGAATCAACCAATGGACCAGTTTGTATCATCTGTTGTCAAGGCTATTACTTAGCTACAAATAGTAGGCTAAGATATAGATCTAGCACAAGAAGATGGAAGAGTATTTTATTAGGGGTCATCCATAAATGACTTCACGCTTTTTTGACGATTTTTACCCCCCCCCCCTCCCTCCGTCACACAGTGTCACAAAAACCAGACCTCCACTCCCCTAAAATGACGTCACACCTCAGCCCTCAAAATGGCTGTTGAATTTTTCTTAAAACATCGATATTTTTTTCCAAAATCTTGTCAGAACTATGTCAGCATATAGTATATTGATCAATTTCTATTATAATTTCTACTAAAATCGTTTTGTAAAACGCGAAATAACGGCTAAAACACGTTTTCTAACATTGCTTTTTTATAATGCAAAAGTGTGAAGTCACACCATCTGAACCCCCCCCCCCCTCCCCCTCATCACATACCGTCACAAAATTACGGACCCCCCCTCCCCCTACGAGTGTGACGTCATTTATGGACGACCCCCTTATCGTGAAAAGAAGAAAACCTAAGTTTCTACATTTTAAAACGCAAACTTATGCTGATGTAATATTTTTATGTCTTATTTTTTAATTCGGAAACTGCCGGGAGGAGGGAGGGGGTGTCAATTATCTTAATTTAACAGTTCCAATCTGCACCTAAATGCAGTGGCGGAACTAGAAAAAAATGGCCCCCCCGCAAAAAAATTTTTTAGGCCCCTATATATATATATATATATATATATATATATATATATATATATATATATATATATATATATATATATATATATATATATATATATATATATATATATATATATATATATATATATATATATATATATATATATATATATATATATATATATATATATATATATATATATATATATATATATATATATATATATATATATATATATATATATATATATATCGGGTGCAGTGGCGTAGCGAGGTCGGGTGTCACCCGGTGCGGCACTTAATGGTGTCACCCCCCCCCCCCCCAGAGGCATAGAGACCCTTCCCAGGGACAAACTTTCAAATTTTCGATTTGCACCCCCCCCCCCCCTCAAGTTTTCGATTTGCACCCCCCCCCCCCCCCATCAAGTTTTCGATTTGCACCCCCCCTCTAACTTTCGATTTGCACCCCCCCCTCGAGTTTTTCTCTATATATTTTGCTATTTTTTGCCTTGGTGTCACCCCCCTAAATGGTGTCACCCGGTGCGGTCCGCACCCCCCGCCCCCCCCCCCCCCCCCCCCAAAGAAATTAAATTTATATAATTTATATAGAAAATATATACTTTTAACAGTGCCCGCCCCCCCCCCTCCGAAAATTTCAAGTGCCCCCCCCCCCCCCCCGAAGAAAAAAGTCTGGAAGAAACACTGCCAAAGACCCACCCATATTATAACCGAATATAACCCCTCCCCGTTACGGGCTAAACATGAAATTAAACATTAATACATTTAAAGGTGATATAGATCTTTTGGTTGTTTTTAGGCTTAAAAGCTAGATCATTGTATCCTAAATTTGATTAACTTTAATGTATTTACTATTTAGTGTTAATAACTAATGTTCAATTAATACGTGTACTAATTATAAAACAATTAATAATATAAAGACGAGCCTTACCTTCCTTGTTGTGTGAATTAGACTCGTCAACAAAATACTTCATCAGGTAAATGAACAACTACTGACTAGTGTCTTTAACAAAATGTGCAGAAGTTGTCAGTTTACAGTTCAGTAGTTCATAGACGGTTCGTTAATCTATGCATTACATCTTATTGTAAGAGTAAGGGTGTGGTGAGGGGTAGAGGTGAGGGGTAGGGGTGAGAGGGGGGTGAGAGGGGGGTGAGGGGGGAGGGGTGAGAGTTGGGAAGGTTCAAGGGAAGGGGACTAGAAAGTGCCGATAAACATCTACATCAATAGTGCCGACTTTTTCCGGTCGTCTAGAAGACCAGAATAGTCGCCGCAACATTTCCCCAGCCCGATTTCAAAGCGTGCCGGCAAAAACTTCAGATGCTTCGCTAAAGGGAGATAACTTAAACTTTCACAAGTTTATTGATACAGTTGTTAAAGTAAAAATGAACGCAATTATAAATGTATGACATCGAAATAAATAATTAAATTCTTGTAGAGTCCAGGCCAGTAGTTTAAACACACAATCATATATATATATATATATACATATATATATATATATATATATATATATATATATATATATATATATATATATATATTTAATAATGTAAACAATATAACAATCCTTTTTTGTTCTCCTAATCGACGCCACTAAAAGTAAAAAGGTAGGCTACGTCTTTGAAGTTGTCTATATGTCTGGCGGTCTCTCGAGCTATATTCTGTGCATTTTTCTCAAAGACGTTTGCCGACTATCGTGTTTTTTTGTAACTGTAGAAGAAAGATAACTCAACCTCCACCTAATTTTAAAAAAAAAAAATTAATTTAAATTTTTTTTTTTTTTACATTTTTTTTAAAAATAATTTAGCCAGGATTTTTGGGCCCCCAATCGGTCTGCCCCCCCCCCCCCGCATTGCGGTGTCTGGCGGCACTGTTGTTCCGCCCCTGCGTCTTTGAAGTTGTCTATATGTCTGGCGGTCTCTCGAGCTATATTCTGTACATTTTTTTCAAAGACGTTTGCCGACTATCGTGTTTTTTTGTAACTGTAGAAGAAAGATAACTCGACCTCCACCTAATTTTTAAAAAAAAAAATTTAATTTTTTTTTGTTTTAATTTTTTTTTTACATTTTTTTAAAATAATTTAGCCAGGATTTTTGGGCCCCCAATCGGTCTGCCCCCCCCCCCCCCCCCCGCATTGCGGTGTCTGGCGGCACTGTTGTTCCGCCCCTGCGTCTTTGAAGTTGTCTATATGTCTGGCGGTCTCTCGAGCTATATTCTGTACATTTTTTTCAAAGACGTTTGCCGACTATCGTGTTTTTTTGTAACTGTAGAAGAAAGATAACTCGACCTCCACCTATTTTTTTTTTTTTTTTTTTTTAAATTTTTTATTTTAAATTTTTTTTTTAAATAATTTAGCCGGGATTTTTTGGGCCCCCATTCGGTCTGGGTCCCACCGCATTGCGGGGTCTGGCGGCACTGTAGTTCCGCCCCTGCCTAAATGTGACAATATTTGTGGAAATAGTGTTGTGTTTGGGATTTTAGTGCCTAGGTTTATTGGGTTCAGTAAGCCAATTTTTTTTTACCATTTATAGTCTGCCCTCGCTTCCCCCCCCCCCCCCCCTTCTATGCGTAGTACTAGATTTTTAAAAATATTAACACCGCTTCATTGAACACCCGATAACCGCGTTACTGGCATAGTTCACCGGGTTGACGACTCGACAGTCATAACACTAGGTCACGCTGACTTTTCAGTTCTACCTTTGACACCTTTGGTCGCGGCCAAATTAACTTTCCTCACCGAGGGCAATTTATTCACGTAATTGTCTCGTTAGATAACTCTCAGTTCACCTGCGCAGGTAAAGGCGGAGCGACAGTCCAGCAGCCGATTAGATCGCGCCCCCTCCCGATACTGCGCCGCGACACCACCTGACTTCCGGCCTAGTTTCGTGTGTGTACAAAAGTTTCGGGTCAACGCGCTGTGACTGACACATCGAGGCCGTGGACACGACCGTTGTCGTGTGCTGTTACGTGCCGTGTTCTGCTTGACCTGTGTGCTGGCCATTGTTTTATGGTCGGATTTCACCACCAGCACACACCCGTGTTGATAACAGCCAGCCGACGTAGTATCGTGTGCTGGCGTGTTTTCCTTTTCTTGCTGGAGTTATCTTTGCAATCAAGAAATCATCGCGAGGCAGGTAGGCCAAGCGAAGCATAGCGTTGGAACAGTACCGGATTATGAATATGTGGTGTATGTCTATGTGAATAGTGCCGCGGGCTATGTGTTACACCATATCGTACAGGAAGTCGTGGTTTAATTCTTTTGTCGTCTGCTAAAACTACGGATGTGTGCTTTGTTATTATTTTTAACAAAGCAAATTATTCTAGATCTAGTTCTACTTAGTACAGTACTCAAGATTAGTACAATGGTCGCTTATTTAAATAAAATAAGAAATACTAGCGTAAACAGAACGGTATTGTCACAAGTCTTCCTAGAAGATTAGTCAGTGTGTCTGTCTTGACAGTCACACATTACTGCATGTACGTACTTCTGCTAAAGCCATAATCTTCAGACATGGATTCCAGAACCAAAAGACTATCTGACCTTGACCCTGAACTGACCAGTCTACCAGCAGACGTAGAAAAAAGGATTCTGTCTATCCTCGAAGACCGGGATAAGATTATCCTACTACAGAGGCAGCAGATCGAGCGACTGGACTCGGAACTTCGACAAGTCCGAATTGAAAGGGATTTACTTCAAGTCCGTTTGACTGACCGCGGTGACCCCGCTACTCCTGGGTCACTGGGCGATTCCAGCAGGTAAGGACAAATATTTTCTTTTCTCTTTTTACAGCTCTCACCTTTGAACCCTTCATTCACTCTACGAATATTAGATGAAAATAGCACGAATATAAAAACTATGTTCTGTTGTTGGTGACTTTGGTTTGGGTTTAGATTGGAAAAATTTTCCCGTCTAGTGTAAACACCCACTGGACAATGGATATTAAATTAACAATACAACACTGTGTTGTATGAAGTGTTGTGCTTGTCCCTAGTTCTGAGCCGTCTTGGTGTAAAACTGAGGCACACAAAAAAATTGATTGAAAAAAAAGCTCTAGATTTAGTTAGATCTACTGCATTGGACCACATGATCGAGATGGTATTTGTTGATAAGCAACACACTTGCCTATTGATGTCCGATAACTATTATTAAACCAAACATTGAGAGTGGATGTTTCCATACCAGTGGTGTGGTGATATGGCAAATGTATTGTACAACAACCTTAAATACAATACCTGTACTTTGTTACATTACCTTTAAAGCTAAAACATAAGACGAATCATGCGCAGTTGGTCAACAGTTTTATCTTTATCAGTGGATTAAAACGATTGTTGACCGAGAAATTTTCAAATATACTGTTAGGGTGGGGTTTTTCCCCAGGGAGGGGGGGGGGTGGATTAAGTGTGTGAGAGAAAGAGTTAGGGGGTGTGTCACATTTTGAAACGTCATTGTTCTCTAGTCTAATGTGTAAATTATACCGAGAAAAAAAAATTAATCAACATTAAAAAAAAAAAAAAACCTTGGCAAGCTATCAGATTTGCCCATATTTTTTTGTTTGAATAAATGACGTGTAGAGATTCTGAGAGGATGGTGTGTTTGTGTGTGCGTGGGGGGGGGGGGGGGGGGAATTGCTTTAAAAACGTTAAAAGGCAAAACTCGCAAGCTAGATAAGCAAGCTTTGAGCTGAAGATCTCAAAGAGAATGGGGGGGGGGGGCTGGGAGGAGAATTTCAGGTGAAAATTTAACGCCTTTGTTGTGTATATCAGGTGTTGAGTAGCTGAAAGCTATACGTACACAATCTTTGTAATGGGATTATAGTTCTGTATCGCGTTGAGAACTATACGTACACAATCTTTGTAATGGGATTACAGCTCTGTATTGCATGTGTAAGCAAACTATGCCTAAGTGATGTATGGGCTAACATATTCGTATGTTCCACACATCACAATACATGCTCATATAACGTCAACTCTAGCTGATGCAACAAAGAGGGTATACAGCTAGCAGGATATGGTATAATTTAGAGATACGTTTAGGTTTGGGTTAGCTAACGTTATCAGCGAATCATTTTCAATAATTTTTTCTCTTCACTTCTGTGTCTGACTAACAGGCAAGTACCCCTTCATGGCGACACACGTCCCTATCATGACTGGCTTCCTCTTGAAGTCTCACGTAGATTTATTGTCTCAGTCTAGAGTTGAATAATTTCACGCACCTGATAAGATATGGTTGGCCCTGCACTCAGGGGTGCTGTTTATCGCTCGAGATTGTTCTGCGAGTGCCCCACACTGCCCACTTGTCACAGTTCTGGACATGGTACTGGGCATACCGAATGTCATTTTGTAACGGCCAGTTTTTGTACGACTGGCTTTATTGGCGATTTGCATTTAAGTGGCCCTGTCATGTGATAAACATAGTTAGATCTACTGTCACCAGCTTCGATGTATTTTATTAACACGTTTTTCTTAACTCAGCTTCGCGTTTGTTTGTTTGTTTGTTGTTAAAATTGACATCGAAAATTAGCCCACTTCTGATTGCTCTATAGATCTGAAATTTGGCATGCAGGTTACTTTCGCCTAACAATTTCAGATGCAATCATAAAAACTAGCAATTAGAGACCGTAATTAGCTTAATTTAATTACGCCCTAAGGACCATAAAATTGAGGACATGATTTCTAAAGATACCGACAAGACTGAAGACCTATTGACACAGTTACTTCGGCCCCAATCGATGTGAGCGCGCTGGCCGTGATCGTATAGTGGTTAGTACTTCGCGTTGTGGCCGCGACAACCCAGGTTCGAATCCTGGTCGCTCAAGATTTTTAGTCCGTGTATTTATAAACACTTAGTCAAGTCATACTTAATCAAGTCATTGGATAAAGTAGAAAATAAACTATATAAAAATTTTTTTTTAAAAACCACGTTTTTCATGTGTAGCAACGGACTAAAAAGGAGAAAATAAAATACTTAAAAAAACTTTTTAAAAAACCACGTTTTTCTTGTGGACTAAAAAGTAGAAAATAACTATTTACATACATTTGATGACAAAAAACGTGGGTCGGGCAGATGGGTCGGGAAATTTGATGGTGAACGTACCCACGTTTTTTGTCATCAAATGTATGTAAATAGTTATTTTCTACTTTTTAGTCCACAAGAAAAACGTGGTTTTTTAAAAAGTTTTTTTAAGTATTTTATTTTGTTGTAATATTTACTAATATGGAGAAGCTTTATTGCAATGGGGAGGATCTAGCTTTCTTTGTAATAAAAGTTGTAAGCATATACATACACACACACACACACACACACACACACACACACACATATATATATATATATATATATATATATATATATATATATATATATATATATATATATATATATATATATTATATATATATATATATATATATATATATATATATATATATATATATATATATACAGGAAGGTAATTGAATGAAATGCAAACCCTGCTCCCCTCACCCCCATACACTCGTAGTTCTAGAAAGATATCCGCTTTCCCACAGGAATTGTCGGCCCACATTTTGTTGTGTCAGGTTTGTTCCTGGTGTTGGGAAGCTGGTCACGTAGGTCATCTGATCACGTAGGTCACCTGGTCACGCAGGTCATCTGGTCGCCGTGTCCGACGTGAAACCCAATAGGTACCATGCCGCACGGGGCGTCACTTGATTGACAGCCTGTCAAGTAGTGAACAACGGCGGGGTCGGGAGTTCAACTTCCGCCACTGCCAACTCTGGTACACGACATATGTAGCCGTCAAACAGTGTGAAACTGTTGTGTACTCTTGGGTTAGCCGTACCTACATAGCCATATAAGTGGTATCCACGAAAACAGTGGTCAGACCATAAACCTTCCTCTAACTCTAAATATAATCTTTAGCAAAAAATGGAACAGGAATATTTTAATATGACCCAATGAATATTAAACTTGTTAAACGATCTATGCCAGTGGCGAAGGCATGTGATGTAGGGGAGTGAGTGTTATAGAACTTCTATAGTATAAGCTGCCCCACCTCAAGTTATAGCAATATACACGCCGCTTTCAAAGCTTCCAGTTTGGAATTTTGAAAGTCATAAAACCATCATCGTTCTCAAAATGTATGTAATATACAAGGATACGCCACTAATCTATTGAATAACACAGACCAATGCACATGTTTATGTAAGACTAGGCTACATACGGTGGAGTTCACCGATAACGGAATATCTCGTCTGCTAGCTATCAGGTTATCAACATATGTTCCAGTCCAGCACGCCTGGCCACGTCCGGTCTTTGTAGCCATGTTCTCATGTAGCCCTGTTCCTATGTTCCCATATAGCCATGTTCTGATGAGGCTGTATTCAGATATCGCCAACATGTAGCAGTACACATCCTTTATACATTTGTGCCCATGTAACCGAGTTCCTGTTCCCATGTAACCATGTTCCCATATAGTCATGTTCCCATTTAGCCGAGTTCCATATAGCCGTGTTCCTATGTTCTCATGTAGCAGTGTACTGATGAGACTGTATTCGGATATCGCCACATATAGCAGTACACGTCTTTTAGACAAATGTGTTCGTGTAGCTGGAATAGCCTACAAACCCAAAACCTAACACACACAAAAACAACAGCACTTTCTGTATCCCTAGCGCTAACCCTAACCCTAAGGGTTATTAAATATCGGCGATGCCAGCTTAAGGAATCTGCGTGTAAGCTTAACCAATCGATACGACCCGCCTATGCGTGCCCCGAGTTTAGAAAATCCAGCTATTATAAAAATATTTATTTAATACCCCGGCGAAATCTGATAAAATTGGGCGCGTTTTTAATTTAAAGATATTTTTATGCCATATTTTCGTAGGGCTTATGACGTATGAGCATATAGATGGGAATTAGAGGATTCGATTTTTCTTCTGACCTATAAAGCTGATCGCCTGAGAAAATTGCGTATCGGTGGAGCCCAGTCTAAGCACACACTATTGGGTGTCGGCTAACATGGAGTGTAGGAGTCGGGTAAATTCCCGGGAAGTCTGGTATGACTGTACACCGCATGCACCGTGCCTACACTGTAAGCGGCGCCACTCTTTGTCCGGGTAGGTTTCCCTACACAAGGTGTGGTGGACTTGACAAAAACACGGCGTAGATAATTTTTTTCTATTGTTACGATGGGTGGCGGAGTCGTCCTAGGACACCCGCCCCCCCCCCCCCCCCCCATCCTGTCCCTTGAGTGCTACATGTTAACCTGGCGTGACACAGAATCAGAATCGAGTTGTTTTTTTTTAAATTTTATTTTAATTGGGTGCTGAAGTTGATCCGCACACACCACTTAGCGAGAAGAAAACACCTTAACAGATCAATTGTAGCAGGCGAACAAAAGAAATAAACCGGGAGTGATCTCCCCTAAACTTTCTCGAATATTTTTATATAAAATAACAGGGGATGGGAACTCGGGCTATAGACATGATTTTTAATCCATTTTAAATACTTAAAGTTTTAAAAATAGAATAAAATCTCGTAGACAAAAGAATTGCACTCCAAGTGAACGCTAAATAAAAAAGCGCATAATAGTGCGCAATATTATTAGTACTTTAAAAATTTACATTAGTTTTTTGAGAAATCGGAAGTAGCGTAAATTACTACTTCCGTTCAACGGAAATGACTCAAAATTTAACAGAAGGTAGAGAATTAGATCTTTTACTTACATATGAAATTTTGTTTATCTATCTGAAATAGTACTCAAGTTATATGCTTT